AAACTACCTGCTCTTGAGTCCTCCTTTAACACTGCTTTTGAGGAGAACCCAAGCCAACAAAGCTAACGTTTTAATTCTTTTGTCAGGTCATTTTCTGCATGTCCATCTTGGGTCCCTGATTGTATTTTGGGTTTCTAAAGGGCAGGAATTACATATATACATATATTTTTTCCCCATAGCTACTTATTCAGGGCCTGGCAAATATCAGTGAACATATGCTGATTTTTATTTGATTTGACAGAAGGAAAGAATACAGTGCCTATCTGTGCCCTAAGGGAAGCCCAAGTCACTTCTGGTGTAGAGAACTATGCCCGATGCTGGGTAAGGCTGGGACCTGCCAGGCAATTAGTACTTTCTCTTCTGTATACCCATCTAGCTGCCCTCTTAGGTCGCTGCACCCTTGACTTCCAGAAGCAGCAGGTCACCAGCTGCTGAAGTAGCTCAGGGCACACAGCTGGGGGCTCACTCAAGGGGTCCTGCCTGCCACCTGCTCCTACCAAGCTGGGGATGGCAGAGGGAAACCAGCCCCTCCTCCTCCAGGATGGGATGCATGCGTCTGTCATCTGGTGCTGGAAACAGGATGTCAGGACCCTGTGCCCACAGGGCCACATTCAGGGAGTCATAATGAATGAATGGATGACTTCAAAATTTGGCACCAATCTTGACTGCACCTCATGGATATAGAGAGTGACAGGCAGCTGGTAAAGGTGCAAAGAGCATTGGACGTATTTGGCAGACAAGAGTTGTAGTTATGGGTCTACCACTAATTGGATGCTCCTTTGGTCATGTACCACTTTTCTGCCCGCAGTTTCCTGAAAATGAGAAGGTTGGACTAGATGATGTCAAAGATCCCCCAGCTCTAGGATTCTTAAATTACAGAATTGGAAGGAACCTGACCTGTCAGTTATACATCAAATAGTCAAATAGTTTATTATTATTTTATTTTTATTTATTTATATTATTTACTTTATTTTATTTTTATTATTATTATTTTTTAGTTTAAAAAACATGTTGCTAACAGCCCCATGTCTACTCTAAACCCACAAGGAGATAGCACCAGCACATTTGCTCTTACACATTCCCACTTAGCCCTGCCTACCTACATACCAATCTGGCATACACTCAATCACTTCTTTTGTAATTGAAAAATTTTAAAAGATTTTATTTATTTTTAAGTAATTTCCACACCCAGTGTGGGGCTCGAACTCACAACCCCGAGATCAAGAGTCGCATTCTCTAGCAACCAAGGCAGCCAGGAGTCTTTATAATTGAAATTTCTGTTGAGATTTAACCACAGGATATAATACACTTTGCCCAGTTTCCTCAATGATCACTTTTTGAAAACCTTGATACGTTATTACAACTAGAATATTAACATTGATACAATCCACCTCTTATTCAGATTTCCCCAGTCTTACTTGTACTTATTTCAGTGTATGTCAGTTCTATATAAATTTGATCACTTGCTCTAAGACCACAAGTTCTAAAAGCAGACGCACCTTGCCTTCCTCCCATCCAACCACATCCCCTGCTTGGTTTCTCAAAAGTATTTTTATTTGGAAATAATTTCAAAAGTACAGACATGTTTCAGTACATCTTGTACCCAGATTCACTGATTGTTAATATTTTGCCCATTTATTTTATTGTTTTTCCTATCAATATGTTTTTTTCTGAGTCCCTTGAAGTTGCACACATCATGCCTGCACAATACTTTAGTGTGTATTTCTAAGAATGGGGATATTCTTCTACATGACCATGGTCCAAGTTATCAACAGCAGTGAATTTAACATTGAGCCAATCATTTACTATCAGGATTCCAACTTTGTCCGCTGAAATATTCTTTCCAGCATTTTCCCTCCTCCAGTACAGGATTCAGATTAGGACAAGGTATCCCATTAAGTTTTCATGACTTTTTAGCAGCCTTTAATTTGGAACATTTAACCTTCTTTTTTTTTTTTTTTTTAAGATTTTATTTATTTATTTGACAGAGAGATCACAAGCAGGCAAAGAGGCAGGCAGAGAGAGAGGAGGAAGGAGGCTCCCTGCTGAGCAGAGAGCCCGATGCGGGGCTCGATCCCAGGACCCTGAGATCATGACCCGAGCCGAAGGCAGCGGCTTAACCCACTGAGCCACCCAGGCGCCCCTAACCTTATTCTGTCCTTTTTTTTCCTTTTTCTTTTTTTCTAATGTACATATGGTAATGTTTATTTATTTATTTTTATTGTGTTAGTCATCATACAGTACATCATTAGTTTTTGATGTAGTGTTCCATGGTTCATTGTTTGCTTATAACACCCAGTGCTCCATGCCACTCGTGCCATCCTAAATACCCATCACCAGGCTCACCCATTCCTCTATCCCCTCCCTTCTAAAACCCTCAGTTTGTTTCCTGGAATCCACAGTCTCTCATGCTTCATCTCCCCCTCTGATTCACCCCAATTCACTTTTCCTTTTCTTCTCCTAATGTCCTCTATGCTATTCCTTATGTTCCACATGTAAGTGAAACCATATGGTAATTGACTTTCTCTGCTTGACTTATTTCACTTAGCATAATCTCCTTTAGTCCTGTTCATGTTGATGCAGAAGTTGGGTATTCATCCTTTCTGATGGCTGAGTAATATTCCATTGTGTATATGGACCACATCTTTATCCATTCGTCTATTGAAGGACATACCAGCTCTTTCCAGTTTGGCTATTGTGGATATTGCTGCTATGAACATTGGTGTGCATATGGCCCTTCTTTTCACTACATCTGTATCTTTGGGGTGATCACCACTGTGATACCACTGTATCACCAGTAGTGCAATTGCTGGGTCATAGAGTAGCTCTATTTTTAATTTTTAAAAAAGATTTTATTTATTTGACAGAGAGAGACACAGCGAGAAAGGGACTACAAGCAGGTGGAGCATGAGAGGGAGAAGCAGGCTTCTGGCCAAGCAGGGAGCCCAGTGCGGGGCTCAATCCCAGGACCCTGGGATCATGACCTGAGCAGAAGGCAGACCCTTAATGACTGGGCCACCTAGGTGCTGCTATTTTTAATTTTTTGAGGAACCTCCACACTGCTTTCCAAAGTGGTCGCTCCAATTTGCATTCCCCCCAACAGTGTAAGGAGGTTCCCCTTTCTCCACGACTTCTCCAATATTAGTTGTTTCTTGCCTTGTCAATTTCTGCATTCTAATAGGTATAAGATGGTATCTCAATGTGGTTTTGATTTGAATTTCCCTGATGGCTACTGATAATGAACACTTTTTCATGTGTCTGTTAGCCATTTGTATGTCTTCTTTAGAGAAGTGTCTGCTTAGGTCTTCTGCCAGTTTTTTGACCCAATTGTTTTTTGGGTGTTGAGTTTGAGATTCTTTACAGATCTTGGATATCAACCCTTTGTCTGTAGTGTCATTTGCATATCTTCTCCCATTCTGGGGGATACCTCTTTGTTTTTTTGACTGTTTCCTTTGCTGTGCAGAAGCTTCCTATCTTGATGAAGTCCCAAAAGTTCATTTTCGCTTTTGTTTCCCTTGCCTTTGGAGACATGTCTTGAAAGCCCAGTGTGGGACTTGAACTCACTACGCGGGGATCAACACCTGAGCTGAAACCAAAAGTCAGACACTTCATTAACTGAGCCACCCGGACTCCCCTCTTTTGTCTTTTATGACGTTGACACATTTGAAGAATACAGCCTCTGACCCTTTTTACTAGATGTTCCTCATTTGGGGTTTTTCTGAGGTTTCATCATCGTCAGATTCAGGTTATGCAGTTTCCCCGGAATACTGCGTAGATGAAGATGAAGCGTTCTGAGGACATGGTACCCGTCTACTCTCATTCATGATGTTAATTTTGACCACCTGGTCAAGGTGTTGTCTGCCGGCTCCTTTATAAATATTTCCCCCTTGCTATTAATGAGCCTAAGCCATCAATGGAGAGACACATTAAGCGAAGCAAATATCTGCTCTTCAATTAAATCCGCTCTAGTGTTAGCATCCGGGGATGATTCTTGCCTGAATGAATCTTCACGGTACACTTCAAGTCCTCTTCCAGTATTTGAAACCAGGTTTTCTATGGTTCAGCTTTCTTACGTCTTTGGTTTTGGTTAGAGTCCTCTCCGTGCCTTCCCAACATCCTCTACGACCTTTGGGCAGAGAATGGGCCAAAGTAGCACTCAGCAGCCCTAAGTGGAAATGAGCTAACTGGGCTGTTCCGAGTTAAACTGTCCATTGGTGATTTGCATAATATAATGGCCTGTGAGCACTTAATTCCTGGATCCTTTTCTGATTCCGCTCCCCCCCCACCCAACCCTCGGCATTCCCCGACCTAGAGGTCGGTGGCATTTTGTTCAGACTCTCCATTGACATACCCCTCCTCCACCGCCACTCCCCAGCACCCGGCGGTGTCCTTCCCCTGCTTGAGCCTCAGGTTTGCTTCCTAGGAGACCGCCCAACCTGCAGGAACGCACCTGGACTTCCACTGCTTTAGTGGCAAACAGCGCACGTGCTCCCCGTAGACTGAACCTAGACGGACGCCGAGAAGCGCTAGAAGTAAATAAGCGCTCGGGAAGCGGTGTGATAGGTTTCCCCCACCCAGGTATTCGAATCGACCTGTACTTTTCCAAGCCCCGTGGCGCAGGTGAAAGCGAGGGGCGGGACCAGGACGGCGGCTGCAGGGCAGAGGGGCGCGGCTCCCGGAGCAACCCGCGCCCTCCGCGGGGCGTGCATCCTGGAGGGCCGCCCGCAGGTGGCGGCGCAGGCCGGCGGGCGGGCGGGGCGGTGGAAGGGGAGGGCTCGGCGCGCGTCGGGCGGTGACGGCAGCGCGGAGGGGAGGTGCGAGCCGCCCGCCCGCGGGGGAGCCATGGCGAGAGGCCGCGCCGCGGCGCCCGCATCAGTGCCCGCGTCTGCAGCAGCGCCCCCGCCCGCCGCCCCGGGGCCCACCCCGCCGCCGTGCCCGCGCGCCCCGAGCCCGTGACGCCTGCGCGCCACGAGCGAGGCGCCCCCGGAGAGGGGCTGCGCGCGGGAGGGAGCGCGGGGCAGCCCGAGCACGAGCGCGGGGCAGCCCGAGCACCTCGACGACCCTCGCGTCCCGGAACCGCGGACCCCGAGCCCCCGAGCGCCAAGTCGGCGGCGAGCAGCAGGAGGGGGCGCCGAAGCCGAACCCAGCCGCGTGCACCCCGGTGACGCCCGGCCGGCAGCTGCGGAGGGAACCGGAGCCGCCGGGCGGCCGGGGCCGAGCAGAGGACAACGAAGAGGAGGCGGCCGGCAGAACGGAGCGCCGGGAGAGCCCCGCGCGGGAGGCCCCCGGGACCGCGCCTGAGACGGGGCCGCGCTCTGTGCGCCTCTCGCGGGTAAGACCCGGGGCCGCGCATCGGGCCCGGGGGGTGGATGGGGAGGGATACCAGTGTTCGTGGAGTCTGGGCGCGTGATGCGGCAGTGGCGGCGGCGGGAGAGGCTGGGCTACGGGACCCTGAGGCAGTACCCTTCCTGCATTGGCCCTACCTGAGGGAGACCCTCGCGGGGCCCCAAAAGGTGCCCGTAGCCATGGTGTCGGTCACACCGCGTGGCCCGGATTCCGGGTTTCGGCACTCGGAGATGACAGTGAGGCGACCTTCAGAGAGCCCCGATCTGAGCCAGGCCAGAGAGTGAGTAGCACCCCGGTTCCCACTCACCCGCAAAACTAATGTAAATTACATCATCTGAGTGTGTCTGGGACCGAACGGGTGGCTTTTAGGAACCTTCCTTTCAGTTCTGAGAGTTAACAAGTTTACTTTTGTCACTTTTTTGACATGGGTTTTTTAAATCCTTTTCGAATCTTCAAGGTCAGCCTCTTGCAGGTGGAAACAAATGTGATGAAGTGTGGTTTCTTCTTTTGTTAAGTTGTGTTTAGGGAAGCCCAGCTGCTCCCGGGCTGGCGTTCCCGGTGCACGAGAGCCTTTGAAGCCTCTGTGCTTCAAGCCCTTCCCTGCACTTGCTCAGAAACCGAAATCAGCCATCACTTTGAGCGCCTCCGAAGTTTAAGTGGTTTGGCCTCCGATTGCTTTGTTTAAACAGTTTTCTGATTTTCTTCCCCAGAACTTAATGGCTTCAAACAAATACGTAACTGGTGTCTGCCAGTCTGTAGGCTGATGGGTACCCTTTCCTGGAGCATCTTTTGTTTATCTGTGGCAGGGATAAACAAGGGATATCAGACAGGGGGACAAGCTAGGAACAGGGTCCTTTTCAGTTTGCAACTGCAAGAGCAGCAGAGAGGTGGTTGGCCAGATTGAACAATGCTCAGTCCTGAGCAGTCTGCACTGGGGAGGGTCAATGCCCCCCTCCCCCTGTGGCGGACAGGACGTTTGCCTGGCAGTTTGAGTTGGACCTGGAGTGACAGATGGCACCTTCCTCTTTTTCCTGGTTTGGAAAGATCACACTTGTGTGCCCTTTGATCTCTGACCCTAGTTTTATCACAGAGGTGCCCTGACAAACATAGGCCACCTGGAGAGCCGAGCAGGGCTGGGGGTTGCTGAGCTGGGTTAGAAAGCCCAGCAGGTTTGGCAAGAGTTGGGTCTCAGCTTGACCCCAGCATGAGCCTGTTCCTGTTCAACTCCCCAGGGGCCTGTGAGATTTGGTTTCCCATCCCCAGCTCTTCCTGGAGGGTGTCCCTACCCTGGCTGTGTTGCTGATGTTCTTTCTGAAAGGACACAGGCTTTTTTAAAAGATTTATTTATTTATTAGAGAGAGAGTGCTTGTGTGGGAGCATGGGCCAGCCTGGTGGAGGGAGCAGTGGGAGGAGGAAGGAGAATTCCCAAGCAGACTACGAAGTGAGTACTGAGTCTGATTTGGGGGGGTGGGCTTCGTCCCAGGACCCAAGACCATGACCTGAGCCTAAATCAAGAATCTGCTGTTCAACACACTGAACCATCCAGGTGCCCCAGGACGCAGGCCTTTGGGTGGAAGACCTGGATTCAAATTCCAGCTCTTGTCTCTTTTGTGACCTTGGGCCCTTATTTAACCCCTGTGACCTGGCTTTCCCTTCTCTGGAATTGCCTGTCTCCCCAGAACAAACAAAACTCATGGAATTATTATAAGGATTAAAGAGTGTTTTAAATGAAAGTGTTCGTAAAAGTTTGACTAAATGATGTGAGAGGGTTTTCAGGTCTCATTCCAACATGACTAGGTGTGTCACTTGGTGACCTTTTTCAGCACTAACAGAGATAAATAAAGCAGATATTATAATACTAATTATCTTTCTTACAATTTTGCTGTGAAGGTCAAATCAGATCACATAAAAGGGTGTTGAGGGACACCTGGGGGAGTTGAGTCCATTAAGCGTCCGACTCTTGATTTCAGCTTAGGTCATGATCTCAGGGTTGTGAGTTTGAGCCCCAGGTCAGGTTCTGTGCTGGGCTGGAGCCTGCCTAAGATTCTCCCTCTGCCCCCTTCTTCCAAAAGGGGCTTTGAAAATAAATGAGCAGTACTTGGCGTTGAAAGGAGTTCCTCAACTTTGTTTCCAAACTAACAGTGCCTTACCATTTGCCATCTGATGTGGATTTCCTTCTGGTCATTGCTTCTTAAGCCCTAGCCTCTGACCTGGCACACAGTAGGTCTCTAATTGTTAGATGACTCTTGAGTTGACCATCTCACATAGGTTCTTAGATTTTATTTTTCAGTCTCAAGGGAGTGTCTTTTGTCTAGAGACACAATGTTGAATAGGCCTTCTGGTTCCTCCCCCCGTTTTTGGGAACAAATACTACCCATTCTGACTTGCTCCCTTATTAGGTGTGTCCAAATGGAGGCCACCTGCAGTGTTGAAAAATTCAGTGTTTTAAGAGACAGTAACTAATAGCATATGCGTAAATCTGGATGCCTCCAAGCTACATATAATGCCAGTGATGAGCAGCTGCTTAAAGAAATGCTTTGACGTGTGTTTTATGGAGGGACGTGTGGCTTTATGATTCATTGAGAAGCTCATTTAATTATGTGTTTGTTAGGAGTGCACCTGAGGTGGAAGAGGATGGCACACAGGTGGAAGGCTAGCTCTTAACAACCTTGTTTGGCTTCTGGTCCTGCATTCGGGAAGAGCTGCTCCCAGCCTCACCTGGTTAATGGGAGGAGGGCTGTAAATCTCTTAGAAGACTAACAGCGCAGTGACTTCTAGGAGCCACTTACAGCCAGGTCTCAAGCTATGAAATGGATCATGTTGATACTTCTTAAACCTGCCCCATAATCTTCAGGGCAAAGGAACCCTGGAAAGGGGGATTTCGGGGCATAGCCTGAGGTTTTTGGCACTTATCAGGTAATTTTTCAATGTGCATTCACCGATTCCTTTGATGGAGAATAGGATGCAGGATTCATCTGTTTTAATATAAAAATGCTTTAAGTTATTGTCTTAATTCAAAAAGCACCCAAGGAAGATGCACCTTATTTTCCCTGAGGCGCGGTGGGCTCCCTGTAGCATAAGTTTGGGTACCCCAGGGGTGCCTGGGTGGCTCAGTCGTTGGGCGCCTACCTTCGGCTCAGGTCATCATCCTGGGGTCCTTGGATCAAGCCCTGCATCGGGCTCCCTGCTCAGTGGGAAGCTTGCTTCTCCCTCTCCCACTTCCCCTGCTTGTGTTCCCTCTCTTGCTGTGTCTCTCTCTGTCAAATAAATCTTAAAAAAAAAAGTTTGGGTACCTCAATTTAGAATCTTGGAGCTGGATTATTTCTAGGGGCTCTGCTCATTCCAGACTTCATGATGTGCCTAGACTTTTTTTTTTTTTTTAAGATTTTATTTATATATTTGACAGAGATCACAAGTAGGCAGAGAGGCAGGCAGAGAGAGAGGAGGAAGCAGGCTCCTCGCTGAGCAGAGAGCCTGATGTGGGGCTCGATCCCAGGACCCTGGGATCATGACCTGAGCGGAAGGCAGAGGCTTTAACATTCTGAGCCACCTAGGTGCCCTGTGCCTGGACTTTTAAAAGCAAGAGGTCCTCTCCTTCCTAGAGATGAAAAGGGTGCTCCAATATCCAAAGGTATGTTAGTGAATCAGAGAAACACCAGAGTATAAATTATCTGGATTTGAATGTAAAGGAAATACCATGCTCTGGGTATTCAAGGGACTTTGAAATTTTTTTTTTTGCCCGTAAGAATTGTTGAAAAAAACTGTGAACCTGTGGATGAAGTGGTTTGACTTTTTCTGGAAGGTATCCCTTGTAGAATAGCATTCAGAGCACTACTTACTTTATTCCACGCCCCCTTAGTAACTAGACCTAGTTACTAGGTAGCGAGATGATATTGATTACAAAATGCTGCTGTCTCCTGAATTATGTTCACAGGAACTAGCTGGTAGCAGTTCCTACCTTGGATTACACAGATGCAGGTTTGCATATGTCACTTTAAAATGGGTATCAATTACAATAAGGGTAAGGATTTTGATTTTTCTTCTCCACGTTTAGGGAGAAAAAGCATACCTGCAAATGGAGAACCCTGGGATTTTAGAAGTTCTCTGTCAATTCCTCTGGTGGTTTGGGTAAAGTCAAAAACTCCTTCCTGGCAGTTCTTTACATCAGTGGTATAGGCTGTGGGCCTGGATTTTTTTCGAGGGTGCATTCTGCGAGCTCTCACTTTCTAAGTTTTGCAAAAAGTAGAGAAGGCGGGACCTGGTGTAAGTGTGCTTCGTTTTATTATGCTCCTTCTCAAATAATAAGGGGGATGTGGTCAAACACCCGCGTCTCCCATTAGAATGTTAGAATAGGTTTGGCTTCCCTTGTGTGATTGACTCAGGAGTTTGAACCAGGGGGAGCAGGTGAGCAATGAGTGCGGAAGCCGCCCTTGAAGTTGTCAGAAGAGTTTGGAAAATTTGGCCTGGTGAGGAGTGAGGAGGAGGAATTTCATTTTTGCTGAGAGTCCGGTTCAAGATGGGACCTTGATTGGTCCCACCGATTGGCTATGGCCCCGGGTGGCGGAGAAGAAGATCCTGATAGTGCTGTTTGTGCCTGGCTTTTGCTCCTTGCTCTCCTGGCTCCAGCCGTTTGCAGGAATGGAAGGCTTCACTACCCAACCTGTGGCAGGTGGGCCTGCAGCCTGTCAGCATTACCTGGGAGCCTGTTAGCCCTGCAGAACCTCAGAGCCTGCCCCAGACTTGCTGGATGTGAAGCTGCATTTGATTTGATTTGATTTTGTTTTGTTTTATTTTATTTTTCTGTTTATTTAGTCTGATGCTTAACCAGTGGAGCCACCCCGGATGCCCCATGAATCTCCATTTTAAACCTATCCCCAGGTGGTATTGATGCTCAGAGACCTCTTCACCTTTGGTGGTTCCCCAGAACGTTCTTTCCCCATGTGTGAGGCCAAACTTCATATATGTTAGGAAGAGCAAGTGACCGGT